AAAATTGTGAATAGGTATCACTCAAAGCCATTGTAGTATAGTATGTCCATGTTATTGCCACTGGAATCCTGCTGTTCTGGAAAAGCATATTTCTTGTACTGCAACATGGAAACAAATGTCCAGGCCGAATGGAACATTGTCTGTGAGCTCCCCCTTCTGGCAACAGTGATAATAGCATCGCCAAACTGTTGAGAAATGTGTTGTGCTATCACCCTGTTGGCTACATCCCTTGGATATTTTCAGTTATTAAGGAAATAAAATAGTTTATGGTGTATTATCATGAATTAAAGGAAGACTTCTTAGGATTCAGTGAGTACACATACTTATGCTTGGAGTGGATGACGGGAGTTGAAATTTATCAATATCAACATGTTGCGAAGAGACAGAAGAAAGTTAAAACAATGTTGAAATATCATTTTCCCCAATCCAAATGGGAAATAATGTCTAAAAATATAAAGGCAAACATGTTTGCTGAAATGGTCGGAGAACACAGCTTTTCATCATGACACTATTAGGTTACTTTCTTTCAATTTGGTAGGCCAAGAACATAGGTGAGAGTCAATGAGAACATCTTGATGGGGCAAATTGCCATCAAGAGGAATGTGTTTAAAGGAAGTGAGATATCCTCCAGTCTTGAGACCACTGTGAAGGAACTTGTAAAAACAACACGGAGAATGTAAAAATTGCTTCCAATATCATTCCAATAATTCTGATCACAGAATTAACCTTAATATGGATGCATTAACCTACCTATTAAAGCTGTGCCTTTTTGCTATATGTAAGATTTTATTTAATTTTTGATCGGGCTCTGTTGTCCAATCTTTGCTGAGGGACTATCATTCAAAGGGAATCTTTGCCCTCTTACTGTGTTAAATATTTGGCCACAGGGGCCTCCCTAATGGTGCAAGGGGTTAAGACTCAGCACTATCAAGCTATCGCCAGCCACTGCGACATGAGTTCAATCCCCGGCCAAGCTGCTAACCCACATGGCGCAGCAGACCTCTCCTGTCTTGCCCACTGCTCCCTCAGTAGTGTATTTCAGTAAATCCACCTGTTCTGCTCCTCATTCTGTCTCTGGTGAATCCTCTCTCTTTCTCTCTCTCTCTCTCTCTCTCTCACACACATACACCCACACACACACACTTCTGGCCTACATCCCAGTTCTTGTGTGCATAAATAAATAAAATAAATCTTAAAAAAATATTTGGCCACAAATAAGAATGAGAAGCTACCTGGGCCCACAGGAGCTAAGGATAGATATTAATGATTCAGAATAAAATGTTCCAACTCTCCCTATCACTGTTATGATTGATGTACATCACTATGTTGCTGTTCTTCAGGTACAGACAGGACAATAATGGATAAACAGTTTACACCACAGAGCTGTAAGTCAGAGGTTAGAGCCATGACCCTCTTGTGAGAGATGTTCCCCCACAAAATGAAGGATGTCCTGTCAAGGAATACAAAAACTACTTGATGTCTGCTGCCATCTATGGACTCCAGGAAGATTCACTGCAACAATAAATAACCACATATATTGAGCACTTGCCATGTGCTGTGCTGGAGCCTTGTCGCTGTGATCGACAGTGCTATCTCCCCGTTATGAGCAGAGCAGCTGAAGTTCACAGATCAAGTAATTTGTCCAGTCAGCAAGTGATGGAGTCAGGAATGATTCAAACTGAAGCCATCTCAAATCCAAAGTTTTTGTTTTCCATTACTATTGCTTGAAGTAAAACAAGTTCCAGAGTTGAGCTCTCCCTGACATGTCTGCCATGATTGAGTGAAGTCACAGAATAGTCAAGATGGTGAAGGTAAATTATTTCGCCTTTACATTATTGTTTCTATGTAAGGCACCTGTATTCCATTTTACAGGTTATCAAATATGTTGATTTCAAAATGTAAGAATGAAAAAAAGTTCCTAAAATGAAATAGTTGTGAATAATCCCTTGACCACAGTATTGGCTGGTGAAAAGGTTGTCTCTCCACTGAAGATAGAAGACTATTTACCAAGTATTTGGTATGGATGCAATAAAAGGAGAAGGAAAATATTGTTCTTTCTGGAACATATTTTAAAGGAAGTCTCTGTTGATCTGGTGTGTCCACAGGACACGTTACCCAACATTGCCACGTCGCCAGAGAAGGATCATAGACAAGCACAACGAAATTCTTAGCCATGACTACACATGTAATCCTCAGGATTGTGAGCACTTTCTTGCTGCTCTCATTGCTGCTCTCATTAGCCCTCCTTACCATGTCTATGCAAGCATTGTTTTACCCAATTATATATTAGCTAAGTAAAGACTGAGCTTTGACATTTTCCAGAATTTCCTCACTTCTGAAATCAGAGGCTGAACATCCTATATTCTGCTCAAATGTACTGTGGGACAAATAATTTAATTGTATTTGTGTCACAAAGAGTGCTGTCATAAACACTATTGTACATGTGTCCTTGAGTACATGAAAGCGAATTTTCTTGAGATCATTTATGAATGGTGGAATATTAATAGTGACAGGCTATAACCATTTTTAAAAAAGATTTATTTATTTATGCATACAAGAACTGGGGTATAAGCCAGAGGTGTGGGAGTGAGAGGATTCACCAGAGATAGTTGGGAGCAGAACAGGCAAATCTACTGAAATAAACTGCTGAGGGGAGCAGCAGGCCAAGCAGGAGAGGTCTGCTGTGCCATGTGGGTCAGCTCCCTGGCCGGGGATCGAACTTGTGCTACAGCAGCTGGCGATAGCTTGATAGCACTGTCTTTAGCCTCTGCGCCACCAAAGAGGCCCCACTATAACCATTTTTCATGATAATGGATACTTCCAAAATGCCTTCCACAATTTAGGCATTGATGTGTCCTCTCAAGATTAATGTATGAATTAAACTATTGTATTTCAACAAATTTGTGTGAGCTTCTTGTGCTTTAATTGTACTAATATTTCATGATAACGTTTTATACGTTTCAGGTGTGCATCGAGAATCAATACATGTATAAGATACTGAATTCATTGATGAAAATCCAATTCTATCCTTCACCGTTAACATTGCTCCCCTTTTCCCAGTTCCCCTTTTCCCTTCCCTTCTGGTAACCACTAATTGGTCTTATAGTTTAAAAATCAGTTTTTGTTTTATTTAGTTCATCCGTTTGATTTTTTTTCCTCTATATAACACATATCAGTGAAATCATATGGTATTTGTCTTCCTCTGCTGAAGCATATTTCCTCTAGGTCCATCTATATTGTTGAAAAATGTTTTAAAATAGTAATAAAACCAACCAAAACATAATCTGCTTTAATTATGACCATGCTCTGTCAATTTTAAACAATGTCAGTGATAAAATACTCCTCTCTCCCAAATTATTTACTGGGTCTAAATTCTGAACAATTGATGAAGCTACTGTTGCATTTTATTAATTTATGGGTAAGCTTCAAATGAGCACATTTTCATGAATAAGCTTGTATTATACAGAGAAACAAATTTAGAACTTCCAGTCACATCCATGGCACCTGACACAAACAGGCTCAGCTATAGGAGCTCCGTTGGAGAATAAGGTCAAAATGGTTTACAATCATTCAAGTTCACTTTTGATGAAACTCATGTTTCTAATCATTTGGTACAATCATTGTTTCAGATACATTTTTAAAATAATAGCACTGTGAATTTCTCTACTTTTGGAGCAGGGCTCAGTATGCCTTCTTTATCAGTTTCCTGTGGTTGCTATAACAATTTACCACAAACTTAGAATTTAAAATTTGAAGAGTTGTTTTCCCTTTTGTAAAATGCAAAACTTTGTGCCCTTTTCCTGTCTCCAAAAGATGTCATGGAGATAACTTACAGAACCCGACCACACACTGATTAAATCATAGATGTTCCCATACTGTGTCAACCTGGCCTGGTATCATCTCCCAAATAATTCCAAGGAAAGGGCTCAAATCTCAAACTTCCTATCCTCTAACAATATTACCACCTACCAATAGGACCCCCCTTTTTCCAGTGTTCAACATATTCCTTTAAAACCATCACCAGCAGCATTCTTAACCACTCTACATTTTTTTTAAGATTTATTTATGTATACAAGAACTGGGGTACAGGCCGGAGGTGTGGCGGGTGAGAGGATTCACCAGAGACAGAGTGAGGAACAGAACAGGCAGATTGACTGAAATACACTGCTGAGGGGAGCAGCGGGCAAGTCAGGTGGGTAGCTGTGCCATGTGGGTAGCTCCTTGGCCAGGGATCGAACTCGTGCTGCAGTGGCTGCAGATAGCTTCATAGGTTGTGTCTTAACCCCTTGCGCCACCAGGGAGGCCCAACATTCACATTTCTTTTGATAGTCTGTTCAAAGCAATTTAGGCTCTATCATGCTCCCTAAAATTCTTCCAGCCTCCACCCACTGCCTGATTCCAATGCCACTCCCACATTTCAGGAACTTGTTACAGCAGTACTTCCCTTCCAGTAACAGTCTCTGATGGTTTTCTTTTGCTCTGTAACAAATGACTACATAAATAGTGGCTTAAGACAACATCCATTATCAGTTCATATTCCTATGGGTCAGAAGTACAGTTACAGCTTAACCAGTCCTCTACTCAGGTCCAAAATCACAATTATCACCCAGGACTGCAATCTCATCTGAGGCTTGAGGTGCTCTTCCAAGCCCACTGTCTACTGCCATCATTGAGCTCCTTCCAACTACAGGAGTAAAAAATTTATTTTCTTGCTGGCTGTGTCAGGTAACACTCAGTTCCTAGAGGTCACCTCTCCAGGTCCTTGCCACATATCCCTCTTCTCTCATAACATGGCTGTTGGCCATCAAAGCCAATGGAACACCTGCCACTGCTTCTAGTCTTGCTTAGGGAATCACTGGATAAGCCAGATCCATCCAGGACAATTTCCCTTTAGATTAACTGGAAAGCAAATGGTTAGTAACTTAATCACAGGAATGAAATCCTCTCATAGTCACAAGTCTTATCCACACAGAACAGGAGGGGATTGTAGAATATGTACACTACAGGTGAGAATCTTAAGTATTATGCTCACTCTTTCCCCTTTAACCTTTGGATAATGCTATGGGTTACTGGCTTTACAGAGCAGCTGAAGTGTTCCGTGTTCTTATACTCTTTCTCCCCACTTTTTATCCCCTAGTCCTTGGAGAGATGCCTCTTGCTTTAACAGTCTGACTTAAAAGTATGTTTCTTGTTCTCTGTAATATCAGTCAAAAAGAAGGAAGTAAGTCTGTGTTTCTGCTTGCAAGCAACCTGGAAAAGGTCACCAGAGGCACAGTTGTATGTAGACAGTAACCTTTATTCTTCCCCAGTCCCTCAGGTAATATGTATCGACATGTTTGTGGGTATTTAAGAATGTATGAACTGGAAAAATTAATACAGTAACTGAAGTTCTAAATTTTAAGAAGCTTTCCTAGTATGAAGTCTTTAACACTTTCCCACCCCTTGAAAAACATTTTTATAAAATTGAAACTCTAACAAATATATTAAATATTTTTAAGTACTGGCCAAAAGGAATTCATGGGGAGGGGCCTCCTTGGTGGTGCAGGGGCTGAGACAGCACTATCAAGCTATCAACAGGCATTGAGCATGAGTTCGATCCCAGCCAGCCAAGAAGCAACACACATGGTGCAGCAGACCTCTCCTGCCTTACCTACTGCTCCCCTCAGCAGTGTATTCCAGTGCTGTCCTGCTCCCCACTCTCTCTAGTGAATCCTCTCACCCACTTCCCCACACCTCCGGCCTGCACCCCAGTTCTTGTATGCATAAATAAATTAATCTTTAAATAAAAGAATTCAGGGAGAAATTGGTGTTGCTAGCTGTGTACATCTCTAGGTCAGTTCTTACTTAGGTGACAACTCATCAGTTAGGTTTATTTTTCTATGTCCATCAAGAGGAAAAGTCTCATTTTTCATTTCCCACCTTCTCTGCTCTGGTAAATCATTTCTTGCATGGTTAGGCTTTTAGGAGCAGTTATTTTATGTTCTATAAATGAGAAGGAAGCCCCCTACTACCCATATAAAATCTAGTGGGTTTTTTTTTTTTGGAGACTGAAAAAAAAAAAGCATTTAAAATTTGTTCATTTTGTGTCAAGGTACAAATGTATGCTTTTGTCCATAGCACCACAACAGGAACACCACTCTACCAGGTTTTATATTTAATTACTGATTTCTGCTAGCTTTCAGGTAATAACTTGGCTACCAGAAGAGAAGCAGATACTGAAGCAGGTCTAGATTCCTGCTCCTCTAATGTGAATGTGGCTACATTCACTAATCTGATGGGTTCAGATGCTGTTGTTATCCCCACAGAGTATTTACACATTTATCAAATCTTTTGTTTGATCTATCAAAGAAAATCATAAAGCTCCAATCACACAACTGGCAAAGCTCCAATCACACAACTGGCAAAAGACAATTCTTATATAAATACTTCTAATACCAAAACCACATACAACATTAACATGTTTGAGAACTTCAATACAAAAACAGCAGCATTAATAAACAGACATATATCATTTTATATAAGACATGACAAAGAGATTACATACCTGAAAAAAATCTTAAGTGTCAAATAACTTTAAATACCTTCTAAAAGTCATTCTTCAATATAATCATAAGAACCAAAAGAGGGCCTCCCTGGTGGTGCAAGGGGTTAAGACACTACCCATGAAGCTGTCCGCAGCCTCTGCAGCACAAGTCAATCCCCGGCCAGCCAGGGAACAACCCACATGGTGCAGCAGACCTCTCCTGACTTGCCCGCTGTTCCCCTCAGCAGTGTACTTCGGTCAATCTTCCTGTTCTGTTCCCCACTCTGTCTCTGGTAAATCTTCTCACCCCCCCACACCTCTGGCCTGTAACCCAGCTCTTGTATGCATTAATAAATAAATCTTTCAAAAAAAAAGAACTAAAACAAATTTATTTACAGAATTCTTACTTGGCCGGTGGTAAGAACCAGAAAACAATATACCAAGAAACAACCAGCTAAAACCCCACTAAGTCTTTAAGCCAGTTCATACAAGGGAATCAGAGCAGCTCCTGATTATTAGGCTAAAAAGATGTCCTTCTGCATATCCTTTAATTGCACAAGTAACATAACATACATTTAACCACAGGAGTGTGTTCATGTAGCATGATTGTATTTGTAGGTTCAGCTGAGTTACAGATTCTAGAGAGTTTCCTGTCTACCTGACATAGCTGTTGCACCATTTCTGATTTCTTTGTTGTCTTCTTTCTCTTTTTCTCTTTCCTTGTCAGTTTTCTCTTTTTCGCTTTCTCTGTTGGCTCCTTTCTCTTCTCCATTGTCAACTATTTTTTCTCCTCCATTATTGGTTACTGCTTCTTTGTCCTGAATATTGGTATAAACTGCTTTATTATAGCCTTCCCGGTTCCGAGCAATTTCAATAGCAAAAAATTGTATCCTGGGGGCTAAAAGGTGAATAGAATAATTAATATCTTAGTCTCAGTTACATCCTTAAACCTACTTGAAGTCTACTGACAAAGCCAAACTAACAAGCCAAAGCATTCAAAGATATGCTTCGCAGATGTGCAATTCTAACCCTTTATTAAATGAGATTAAAAATACTAATCTCAGTTATTTATGAAATAGTAACATGATCTTTAAAGATGTAACAATAAGGTGATCCCCAAATTATGCATGTCATTAATTCATCCCTTAAACGGATCCCTTGCTCTTCATATATGGAAGCAATTCTAAAGGCAAGAAACTCACCAAAGATGGTGTTTTCCTCAGTGTAGCCCTGAGAACAATCCAGTCGCAGCAAAGTACCATAGTTGAAGTCTTCTACAATCCCATCAAACTTTAAGCAGAATGGTCTCCATTTCTATAAAAGCCAAAAAAAGAAAAAAGAGGTGTCTCAGCTGACAAATGAAGGAGGCTGGTGAAGTCTGCACAGGGGAGGGACTTATACTTCCTAAGGCAAAAAAATCATAGTGATAGAGACCAAGATTGAGCTGATTGCTAGTTTCACTACCAGCAAGTTCCTGGGATACTTATTATGTCTTTAGATTGATATTTCCCAACATGAACAGTATTTTAACCTGACAAAATACTTATTGACCACATAATTAAAATTTAATTGTTAAATAGATTCTGAGGGGTGTGTGTGTGTGTGTGTGTTGTGTGTGTGTGTGTGTAATTACTGGCTAGCTCAGTCTACAATTATTATTCCTCACCACTGAGGCACAAATTAGACAAAGAGCCAGGAGTCTGGACCAAAATCACAAAGTTAAATTTTTCAGAAAATCATCCATTCGGTACTGGCAATTTTCCAGAGATCAGTAACAGCCTGTTTAAAAGTTAAACATTTATGGGCCTTCCCGGTGGCGCAGCGGTTGAGCGCTGGGTTGCGAAGCTGCCCGCGGCCTCTGCAGCACCAGTTCCATCCCGGCTGCTCCCCGGCCACCAGAGAAGGGTCCCACATGGCGCGCAGACCTCTCCTGCCGCCCGCTGCTCCCCTCAGCAGTGTACTTCGGTCCTTCTGCCTGCTCTGCTCCCCGCTCTGGCTCTGGTGAATTCTCTCACCCTCCCGCGCTTCTGACTGTACCCAGTGCATGTATAAACAAACAAACAAATAAATAAATAAAAACATGCCTCTATTAAAAAAATAATAAAAAAAAACAAAAATATAAAAATAAAAGTTAAACATTTAGATTCTTCATTAAGCCAGGGGCTTACTTTCAAGGGGAAAAAAATTTCACAACTATAAAAGTTTTAATGCTCTGTAAAAATACACAATAATTATAAGTATTATCCATGGCCTGTGAAAATGTGACCTAAATCCAGAGAATCAAAACACCTATGTACCCTATTTACCCTATTTACTCTTCCATCCAGGCCTTCTGGCTAAACTACTCACATGAGTAAATTTATTTCTCCTCCCCTAAAAGGGGTAAGTAAGTAGGGATGAAATGTCCAAATCAAAAAGGAAAGGAATAAAACAGATTCAATGAATATGAAAAACCCATAAACTAAAAGAACATTAATTTCATAACTTATTAATTGTAACTGCATAAAAGCCCTGGTTCTTTATGTCCTTCTCGTAAACAAAAACCAAGTATGATAAGGGGGTTGCAACTGTATGGGGAATATAAAAATAAAATTTATTAAAAAAAAAAAACAAGTATGAGTTCAGAAGTATAAAACATAAATTCACAATCAAGTTGGTCACATACGAGGCAATATTTATGAGCGGGAATTCTTACCTCTTTAGCTGATTCTGATTTGAGCTCTTCTGGGTCCAACACATCTATCCTGAGTTTCTCAAAATTTTCCCGAAACTCAGAATAGATTTGGTCATCCACTTTGGTCAGTTTCAGGAACTGTGGGTCAACTGATGAGATCAGCTGCCAGACAGGAAGACAACATACAGATGCTAATCTCTAATTTAGTACACTTCTATCATCCCCTCCCCAGAAAACCTTCATGGTTCTCAGGGCAGAAGAGTTCATTAAAAAGTAGGATGAGTCTAGGTCCTGGATTAAATCATGAAATCATTCTAAAGGGCTATTGCCCTTTTGTAGATTGTTCATTCAGTCAACAAACAATAAGTGCCTGCTATGGGCTAGGCACTCTTGTCAGTTAGTGACATAACACTGGGAAAAGAAGCAGAGCTCCTTCATTGTCAAAACAAAATTCATTTCCAGCCCCCGGTGTACTTTATGGGCAAGATCTTACCTTACAGCGATAAAAAATATCTCCAAATACAACTGCTTAACTTGCTAAGAATAGTGATTAGTGAAGCAGCATACACTACAATTATGTATTTAATTCTGCTTAATAATGAAAACAGACAACTCACCTTGTAGTAGACTTCAGCATGTTGCATTGCTCTCATGGCCCAAGCCATTTCAATGTCTGGCTGCAAAGGAGTAAAGAATGCCAGATGAGAAATCTCCCAAAGAACAAATTAAGGAAATATGTGGATGTCTAGTTAATGTTCAAAAGGGTTACCAAACTTTGTGCTATTATCAAAAGGTAAAAACTGGACTAATGGGTTTGGAGAATGTAATAATCGTTTTGTCCTTAGGATAATTAAAAAAAAGCTACGTACACCACCTAGTAAACGGGATAAGCCACTGGCTATCTTTTCACAACAGTTAGTGAAGGTGTGAGAGACTACATCAAACACTAGATAAATGACCTCAGAACTGAGTTAAATCAATGCTAAACTGAAATAACACACCCATCGGCACTAGCTATTGAGAGGACAAAAAAAGATAATGTAAATGAAATTACTTTTCACTTTTCAGAGTGTAGGATATCATGATGCTACACCATTTATGTTTATCAGCTAGCCTATTGCCACCCTGTAACACTTAGAAATGAAATGGTACCACGAAGCAAGCTAGATTGCTATAAATAAGCCTAACCAAGCACCCAGCACATGTTCCATTGGAATCTTCCACTCCAACTAAATGGGATCTATTAAAGCCCTTTGCAATTTTTTTTTTTTTGCATTAGCATTTGTACCTCTATCGGTGCCAATCTATGTCCTTTATCCACGTACACCCTGAGAATCCAGTGGGAGATTCACTTCCTCCGTGATAATCCTCTTCTGCCTGCTTTTAGGGGTTACTTCTCCAGTTAAACTCCTTTGGTTGGCTCTTACAGCCTGACCCACTCATCTAGCATACACCACCTTATGATTTGCGTGTTATTATGTTCTCCTGTCGCTGTGCCTTGTATCGCAAAATACATCACGTGCTTTCTCCGTAGGAATCTAAACCAGATACATCACAAACTAGTGCAACTTTATTGCAGAAAGGAACCACTCGGTGACGTAAAAAAAAATACTTATTCCTGACTGACAGCCTCCAGAGAGACTGCGATCTAACAACGGAATATTTAAGCCTTTGCCAGACATTCTAGAGTGAGGCGAGGAGTGATTGGCATCAGTCCTGCGTTTGTGGACCAAAAAATGAGAGTGAACTGAAAGGCACGGTTTCTGGCAGACGCGGAAAGAGTCTGGAGGAGGCATCGGGGAATGGGTTACGAGTTCGCAGCAAGCCCTGCAGACCTCCCAGGCTGGCTCGGTGAGCGGGAACGGTAAGTGAGGCATACTCACGTCGTTGCCATAGGACTCAGCAGGGAGAGAAAGAGCATGTGCTACGGACACCAATTCCCCCGAAACCTGGGAAAGAAAAAAGAAAGGACGGGGGGGCTTTAGACTCGGCCTGGCTCAACTGCTGCGCCCAGCATCCCCAGAGCCGCATCTCACCAGCTCATCCGTTGCACTACTCGCCTCCATGTTGCGGTCTGGAAAGCGTGGCACCCTGGCCCGGAAATGACTTTTTCTGAGCTCCTTCCGCAGCGGATTGGAGAGGAAGGGCCGGGCAGGGACTCTGAGCGGGCTGCGCCTGCGCGCACCCTCCCTCCGGCCGAGGCCTCGGCGCTGGCTCCTCCTCACGCGCGTTTTCCGGGCGCCTACGTGCTGTGCTGTTGCGCAGTCAGGGCAGCTTGACGCATCTCCGGTGGCCGACTGCTCTAGACTATCACTGGTAATTTGGGAAAGGCCTGAGTTAAATCACTGCCTTTTCTCGGTCCCCCCGATTTGAATACACACTCAATGCATGCGTGAGGGCGCTTACACATCCCAACTCCCCAAACCAAATGTTCAATCACAAAGAAGCATGCTGCTAGACGATGGAGTGGAGGGTGAGGAATTTAATCCCTGCCTTGAAAAAACTAGATACGATGAAAAAGCAGATAAAAGTGGTGAGCACATCGTACCTTAATATACTGTGGTGACACAGAGGATACATAGTCATGAAAAGCTAGTAGCCAGTAGCCAGAAGAGTCAGAAAAGGACATTCCAGAGGAGACAACCTGTGGAAAATCACTGAAGAGTTAAACATCATGACACTTTCCTGGAAATTGCGAAAACAGAGCTAGAGGAGGAGACCAATCATTTCAGATTTGCACAGAAGGATACTGTATGCTGATTATTAAGGAGTTGAGACTTGACTTTAAAAAGCAAAGATAAACTCATGCAAATTGCAGCAACATGGATGGAGCTGGAAGGGATCATGCTCAGTGAAATAAGCCAGAAAGAAAAAGAAAAATACCGGATGGTCTCACTCATAGCAGGAATTTAGAAAACCTAAATAAGGTACCAGGAGAAAGACTAATTATAATAAAGTAAAAATGAAAATCAACAAGCAACTATAAACCAGAGACACACTGGGGGTGGGGAGGGGAGTAGGGATTAGGGTCAAAATAAGGAGGGTGGGAATTGTATGGGTACTATAATCAAGATGAAAATGCATACATTGTGCAAAAAATGAAAAATGTAAAAATATATAAAATTAAATTAAAAACAAAAATAAATATAAAAGCAATGGTAAGCTACTGAAGAAGGTCTTTAAGTAGACCACTCTTAAGGTCAAACAAATTTTAAGATGACTGAAACGATGTACAAGATTAATTTGAAGGAGGCAAAGAGACCAACTGGGAGGCACAGGATGATTAAAACCTACAGTAAGCACGGACCACTGAGATGGATTTTGAGAATTACTAAGGGAAATAGAATCAATAGGACTTTTTTATTACTGAATATGGCAGATAAAGGAGAATTAGGATTTCAGTATGACTCCCAGGTTTCAGAACAGTATTTGGAGATGAATGCCATTGAGCTAGAAAACACAGGGGGAGGGATGATGAATTTAATTTGAGGAGTTGAGTTTGAAGAGCTTATTGGACATTCCAATAGGTTTAACTAGTCAGAGGAAGATCTTATCAGAGATTTAAGTCTGAGAACTAATACTTCAATTTTAATTGCACTGTTCCAGGTTTAATTGAGCTTTCCCAAGGAAATAATGACGACCTGTAAAGAGACAAAAAAGCAGCAAACCAAGGACAGAAATATTGATATTTATGAAGAATAAAAAACGGAGTGGAGAGAGAGAAAGCTGTGGATGAGACTTCAAAGAACCAAGGGGGAGTATCGGAGAAGCCAAAGAATATGAGAACAGAGTCCAATACCCTAGATTGAGTAACCTGAGCCCAGAAATATTTGAGAGTCATTTACAATTTTAGCAAGAGCAGTTTTAATGAAATGGTGAAGGTATAAGGTAGTGGGTTGAGAAAGGAGTGGGAATTAAAGAGATGACAATGATCATAGAAATTGCTTGGAAAGAGTTACAACAAGAAACATGACATCCAGGGAATTTTTAAAATGTAGTGAAATACACATAACATAAAAATTTACCATCTTAACCATTTTTAAGTGTACTGTGCAAAAGTGTTAAGTATATTGACATTGCCATGCAGCAAATCTCCACATTGTGTCGGCTTGCAAAACTCACTCTCTATACCGTTGAACAACTCACCATTTCCCCCTCCCCCAACCCCTGGCAACCACCACTACTTCCTATTTGTATCAATTTAACCACTTGAGTTATCTCCTATAAGTAGACGCATACAGTATTTGTCTTTTAGTGACTAAATTATTTCCCTTAGTATAATGCCCTCAAGGTTTATCCATATTGTAGCCATGTGACAGTATGTCCTTGCGTTTTAAGACTGAATAATGTTCCACAGTTGTTTACCATTCATCGGTCAATGAATGCTTGGGTTGTTTTCATTTTTTGGCTATTACAAAAAATGTTGCTATGGACAAGCTGTGCAAATATCACTTCAACACCTTGATTTCAAGAAATCTTGGGGACTTTTAAAATTATTATTTTAGGTTTAGTGAGATTAAATGTACTGGGAAATTGTCCTTATTCAAAAGACTACTCTGGAGGGTGAGTTAAAATGTATCTTCAGAAAAATTGAATGAAGAGAGGCAGTAAAACAGGAAATTGAGATGCGCTCTCTAGACATGTTCTGTTTTCTCTTTGAAGCAGAAGAAGGCAGCTGAGAGCAAGAAGGAATGTGTTAAAGCCTTTTCTTTAGAAGACTGTCTTGAGAATTCCTGCATGGAAACTCAGAGGAGAGGGAGAACCAATCTAAAAAGGAGCATGAGAGCTTCCCTGGTGGCGCAGGGGTTAAAGACGGTGCTATCAACCTATTGCCAGCCACTGCAGCACAAGTTCAATCCTGGCCAGGGAGCTACTCACATGGGGCAGCAGACCTCTCCTGTCTCGCTCACTGCTGGTGAATCCTCTCACACACATACACACCCTCCCCACACCTCTGGCTTATACCCCAGTTCTTATATGCATAAATAAATAAATCTTTAAAAAATAAATAAAAATAAAAAGGAGAATGAGGGAAGTTTTCAGGGAACAGCTAAAACTGGAGGACATGATTCTATAAGGTTATGCTCAGGTCTCAGTGTAAGGTGGGTCATTCACAAGGATGCTAAATATTAGTGAAAGTGGAACCCTGAGCAGGAGGTCAGTAGACAATAGTAAAATGGAGGAGCAGACTAAAGATGATGACCAAATTGGTGCATTACAACTAAATATACAAAGAATTCCAAGAAACACAATTGGCCTTTTACCCGAGAAAGCATGTATGTAATTTGCTTTATCTACTATTGGGGGCATATTCATTGCCTTTAAATTTAATAAAAGCTATTAAGATGCATAGTTTGTACATGGCTTGTTAAGATTATTTTTAATTTTTTTTTAAAATAAGGGAATGTATCACGACTCAAGCATGCACAGCCTTAGACGCTTGCAGAGACCAGGAGTTGGAACTATACAACAGGTAAACTTACTTAATGGGTAAATCCTGAACCCTAAGCCCAGCAATTATATAATACACATTATTGTCAAAAATCCATGAACATGTATAATTTTATTATGATATGTGACAAAGTAAATTTCAAAACTTTACAGAGTTCAATTTATGCACACGGATTAGAAGCTACAGTTGGTATGAAGCAGTGCATCCCAGGGTAGTGAGGTCTGTGAGACATTAAACATGAATTGAGTAGCAAATTAAGACAAATAGTCTTCAGGCAACCATTCTTATGGAATGTTTGGCTATTGGACTATAGACAAGAAAGCAAACTTAGTTGCCCTTGAAACTTACAATCAAAGCTGAGAGCAGAAAACCTGATTTATAAAATGTGCCAGAGTCAGGTAAAAGACATGGCCTGTGTCATCTTGCTGAAACTGTTGCGAGTGAGAGCGTGTCACATTCCAGGACTGTTGTGGTCAGGAGGAAATATAACTGTCCCATCGGATGCCTTCCAGGCCAACCTGACACAGTAGTTGCAAGAGGTGGTACAACACATTGTGTCATTTTTGACATAGGGATTCACAAATCCTTGAGAATCTTGCACTGTTGTGGGGTTCAGTGGTCAGTATGGTTGGCATCATGACACTGACACAATGATGCCTTTCCCTTACCAACAGGCACGGCCATTCACTAGTCTCTGTAAGTCCCTTTCAGCTTTGTATCGTGTGCACAATGCCACCTTCATCCTGCTCCCTTAACATCAAAAGTAGCTTTTATGTTCCTAAGAGTGGGGGTGTGTGATTGGATAGCGCTGCTGGCCTGGCTATGAACTCCAGCTTTTGTATCTAATAACAGATTTGCTTCTCAGGAAGGAAAACTCAAGAAACACCCTTCAATAATATCCATATCTGTTAGCAATGAACTTAGAATCTTGAATTCAAATCTAAATTCCTCTTTACTCTTACTGCACGGGGTCTCTTTTTTTCAAACATTAAAAAAGGAAGAAAATGCCTACCTTATAAAGGTATTGTGAAATTAGTGATAAAGTATGGAATATAACCTAAGTTAGGAGAAGTGCTCAATTTATGGAAGCTATTTTGACTTGTTTATTATTAATAAGCTGCAGTGTAGAGAAACTATGGACTGCTCCCTGCTCCCTGCTATCACTAGCAGTACAACTGAAGGTCAGAAGGCCTGTATGATCCCTGAATACACTGCCAGGGAACATAAGACAATTCATGCTGCTTGGCCGGCAAAAACAATGGGTGACGAGTTGAAAGCAGCAATGTCTTACAACTGAATAGTACCCGCAAAAGAAATTTTCCCACCCTTCCAGGTTCTTCTGATGCTACAAGAAGAAACAAATTAACAGACAGATTAGTAGGAGAAAAGACCAAATTTAATAACATAGATGTAGAGACTTTACATGGATATAAATTCTAAAATGAATGGGGTAAACCAGAGGTTTATATCCTGTGCTAAAGGATCTAGGTCATCAAGGAGAGAAGAAGGGGTTTCACATGTCAAAGAGGGGGGTGAATTCATATGATGAAACCTTTCCTCTAGATGTTTGCCAGGCCTTGATATAGGTTTCTCTGGTAAAACGGTTGTTTCTGGAGATATCCCTTAACCTAGGTCATTGCATTCTTTTTTTTTTTTAAGATTTATTTATTTATGCATACAACAGCTGGGGTGCAGGCCAGAGAT